AGTCTATATGCACAGTTTCTGAGACAGACACTAGAGGCCGCCTTTACTTCAAAAACACCCTTTGTAACTGGCATAAACCATACCCTTATAGGGAGAAGCATTTTCACAGCAATAGTCAGGGGTCGAATAAAAGTGCAGCTAGTGCTCAAGGAGGCTTTGATTTTTGTTTTAAAGAGTCGTTGTGAGAGACTTTGGAAAGAGTTGAAAACAAAGTGTACTTTAGGGCAGCTTCATGTGCAAAATCTTGCACCTTATTCACTTCAAAGAGCACTTTAAAAAAGCCGTGTGGGCAGCTAGTTTCATTTCACTAAATTAAATTTAGATTGTATAAATCTATGTACGTATTTGACCAAAATTATTAGTTTTGCTTTTATAGCAGAAATGGTCTCCTCAACTCACCAGCCAATATAATACAAAACACGATCTCCAGTTCGCCCATGTATTCTGTCTGGTATTTTTACCTCAGGCGTTATGTTCATATTATTCTGTTTTTTTTTTTTACTGTAAACAAAAGCGTTCCACTCCCCAGATCATTCTTTCAGATGTATGTCACTGGAACTTCCCCAGCAAATTCTCTCGTCCACCCACTGTTCATGGATGTATGTACAGTAAAATAAAGTTCAGTGTGACAAAAAGAAGTATGTTCCCAGCTCCCAGCCTTTTCAAAAGTGTAGTTTTCAGGTTGTTGGGTTGTTTTTACATTCTAGTATAGGTGGAAATGTAATATAAATGTCTGATCTCAGTAAACATCTGGAATGTGTCTGTGCAATTCAAACTCATTTCTTCTTGCATAGCAGTTCAAGAGTTGGGAACTGCTGTTCGATAGCAGAAATACCATCAAGACAGTGCCACAGCCCTTTCCACAGACATACCAGTGTATGTTATTTAAAATCTGGGAACTTCGTCAGAATTCTGCATCATATTGTGTGGTGCTCTACATCAGGTTTCTAGCATTATTTTCTAACAAGCGTGCCATTGCTGAACCCCACCATTTAGCACAGAATTCTGAACAAGTTGGTCAATTCCATGAAGAGGATCTTGGTAAATAGTTTTGTAAGGATTAGCATAAAACCATAGATTTTATATGTAAATAAATTCAGGATCCTGCAGAGCATATCTCAAGTGCTGTTTGATTGTTTTCCAAAAACTGGTTTATGAAATAATCAGCTGTATTGTGTAAATCATCCACCAAGAAATTTCCCAGCACCATTTTGTCTTTGACATATCATAATGTTGCTTTCTGCCACACATGCATAACTCCACATTCCACACTGAGACAGTATCTTAATTTGAATTTCCAGGATACCTCCTTTGACCAAATAGTACATCTTGGAAGAGCTTTCCTCTGTCGTACGCTGGACCCTGCCACAGTGGAGTCTATACCCTCAGATTCAGTTCTTGGTCGGGTCAGCATTGCCAGTGTCAGACGTGTTTGTCAGCAGGAAAAACAGAAGCTACAAGCTCTGAAGAAAAAAGTGACAGACATCCAACAACAAACAGCTGAAGTCACACAAAAAGAGCAAGGCCTCAGGTACTGTAGAGGACTTGAATATGTAGAAAATTCCCTTTTTGCTGAAAATAGTGTTGTCATATGAAATATGCCCTGTAGGGCTTTCATGATTTCATAGGCTGTGGAGGTGGATATGGATGTCGAGATGAGTTGTTTATATTTTGGTCTACTACAAACTGCAAAAACGGTAGAATGAAATGATATTATCAAATTATGACATCGATAATGTGAAAGCTGTCTTGAAATAAGTGCCATTTCAAATCTTAACATGCTTATAAAGAAGGAGAAAATTGCATTGTGTTGCTTAGGTTACAATGAAAAGATATTTAATTAAATGTAATGTGTACTTGTGTATTGTACTCATTCTGAAGACAAACTCCTGTGACTGCTTTGAATATGTTTGTCTTTGCATTTAGAAACATGGAAAAACATCATCTTGAAGAAATAGAACGTCTGAAAAGAGGAATCCTTCTGGAACAGGTAGAAGTGTAATTTGCGCTGAGCCAATCAATTTTGGTTCCTTGTCTTTAATGTGCTGTTCTTTTACATTTAGAACCTGGTGCCTTTTGAGATTTCTGATCTGTTTTAAACAGTATGTTGACTTTTGTTATAGGTATCTGGTAATGGAAGACCTGAAGTGTATTTTGGAACTGTGCATTACTTATTGAAACATAATCTCCTTGTACAAACAGCAGCTACAACTCTTCACTTTTACTGTCAGAAAGATCATATAGAGGCATTGTTAAATATAACAAAAACTAGGGGAGAAATAACTACTGTTTTTCTGTGTGGTATGAAAAGAACATCAGTCTCAGGATTGTAGATGAGGTTGGTCAGTTGTATTTTGTTTTATGTAAAACATGATTGGCAAATATAAAAGTGTTCTGTAGTAATTTTTAAACAACACCTGAGTAAGAATGTCTTTACAACTAAAATCGTATTTCAATATGTTCTTGTTCCAGGAAAATGTGATTAATATGGAGAAAGAATTGTCAGATCTACAGTCCAAACTATCAGAATCACAGGTTTGTTAGTTAAGTTAAATCTGCGTTTGTTTTGTGTGGTTTTCTTCATCTTTGCTCTGATAAGAAAAATCTAAAATTTATAAGAATTTGAGAAGTCTTTAAAAATGACTTGATATTGTAAGATGGTCATGTCAAGTGCTTGATTGGCCAGTGTTGCAGAATACACTGCTACTTTGTTTCTGGGTGGTTTAAAATATTAATTTAGTTTGGGTAGCATTCCATATGCTCCATATTCCGTAGCATTCCATATGCATTTGGGTAGCATTCCAATGGTATAGAGATAGACCTTATAAGAATTTCCTCTATTTTGTTTTCTTTCTTTACAGGAGAAGTTAGGATCACTGAAACGTCAGGCACGAGAACAGAAAGCATCAAAGGAGAGGAAAGATCAGTCTCATGACCTAAAGGGTAAAGAAGATGTGATCGTGGCCAAGGTCTTGCGGCGCTGCAGGAGACTGGAACGACGAAAAGAGCTTTTCTTAGAAAGGCAGAACATTATGAAAAGAATACATGTACCCAACTGTTGAAGTAAGTTGGTATTGGGATTCATGACTAATGCCTATATGTTTTTGTAATGTTAAAAGGCTGTTTTATTTCTGTGACACTGGAAGAATTTTGTTTTGTACAGTACTATATTAAAACAAAACCTTAGTGTACCACATTTGCCATAACTACTACCATACTAGCTATTTATGGCTGTTTTTATTTTAGAATCGCCAATTTGTTTCTACCCACCAGATTTTTTAAATCGCCCATTGTGTACCTCGCACATGGGTTCTGTTAAAAAAACCCACAGCCTCACACGGGAGTGATTACGGAAGTGTAGGCAGACTCCTCTGACCTGCCCGTTTTGAGCCATTTAACTTTTATCATTTTACAGGCACCACAGGTGAAGTCCCCTCATCCACTGCACTTCAAACCAGCGAAAGGCCAGGAGGCTGCAGGGGCCATTGTGAAGCCTGGCCAGCTAGTCCCACTGTGTCCTTGGAATCGCTCCGCCAGCTGTTCTCCATTTCTTGGGGATCCTGCACACAAAAGTCTGGGCTCTAACCTGCGATTAGAGCGTGTGAGCTCCTTTACTGGTTCAGTCTTTTTGGGAGGTCCCCATAGCAGGGTTTCTTAAAATTCAAAATTAATTTATTTAAAAGTTTATTTCTAGAAACAGTACGGAGCGCACTAGGCTCATTCATGTTGTGCATATCGCATCTTGAAAGCCTGGACAGTTTGTATTTGCAAGCTGAAATGTGGTCTTGGACAAAATCCTGAACCGTGTTTGTTTTCCAATGTTAAGTTCACCCCGATATTACCACTGACATTAACAGTGTTAGTTTTCAGTCATGGGAAGAACTACTGTGCAAAATATGTATTTGACATTATAAATGAAGACGTTAATCACAGCCCACATTGCTGGTAGCTGTAAGGTCTGAATCAAGGAATGGAACGAAAAGGTTTTAATTTGGAAAAATCTGAATTGCCTTTTCATTCATGACTTCAGACTTGCATGTTTTCTTCAATACTGTTTAGTGATGTTGAAAATTGCAGGCATATATGTGAAATTGTGCAATTTGTTCTCAGTCCTGCCTTTCATCCAAAGCTTCTGGAATAGTGTGTAATCCCGAGACCCTACCAGATCACACAGCTTCCTGATGGATGGTGTAGTGCAGACTTATCATAGAGTAACTTTTCTGTAAGAAGCTCAGCATATACTACTGCATTTTCATTGCCAATAGACAAGAGTTTACATTTTTGTTTACGGTTGTATGAGGTTTTAGTTTTATTGTGTATCCTTCTAACCCAATACATTTTTAACAAACTAAGCATTGCTGTAAGCACAAACTGTATATTGTTTAGGGTGACTCCTGTGCTTTACTTTTTTTTAGCAAGTTCTGAATTTTGTTTAAACTTCTGTGTACTTATTGTTGATTACCTGCTACAGGCCTTTTAAGTGTCACTAATATCTCCAGAGTGAAGCATCAGTTAAAGCAGGTTTGTGAGAGGATTAATAGAAACATATTTTGTTTTGAGTTTCTTTAGAAATCCACCTTTTATACCATAATTTAATAACTGAAGTGGCAGTGGCTACCTAAAATAAACACTCTAAGTTTAAACAAGTTTCAGACCAAAAAGAGTTGATTCAAGAGGTGAAACAATATGTTTCAGCTATACACAAAAATGTATTCAATAAAGTAAATTATTTCTTAATTTCATTGTTCTGGAGTAGCAATGTGTCAACTAGAATACAGTTGCTAATGACTTTTTCAGAATGCAAAATACTCTTTTCACTTCAGGAGCCTACTGTTGCCTTTGTTTCTTCATTTCTACAGTTCTCAAATGTTGACCAAAGTGAAGTAAGAAAACTTTCATTTTTACTTTGGTAAGCAATCTTTAACGGTTACATTCTCATTAAAAAGTAAAGCATTTTTGTACATTTCTAAAATGGTTACAAACAGTGCAAAAGGAGAACTAATCAGGTGGCAGAACATACGTTATGGAATCGGTTATTAAAAGGCTGTCTGACGCCAGCACATCTATGACTAAGGCTGACCTCAGTTGTTATGGCCTGTTTTCAAGGTGACTCTGGGTGGAGGAGCTTTCTGGGCTTTATTTCAGGACATAGCTTCTGAGATCTAATACACTCATTGCTGCCAAAACAATAATGATATATATATATAAAGAATTTCTAATGTCACATACTTGATAATCTGAGCTTTTCATTGCAGCAAAAATGAATCTGACTGGTGGGCTGGCCTCATTCTTTTTGTGGTTGTTGTGCTATATTGTAAGCCTCCAAATTCTGTGATCTGGTCTTCTTTGACCCTGTATGGTCTTATGTTCCTACAGGCATTGCTCCACACATCAGGTAGAGAAGAAATTGCTTCACCAATTTAATTGAATTAAATTTATTTTCTGAAGGCTGGCTTATGAAAGCCTGGAGTAATTAAATTACTTGCATTTAAAGAGCACCTTTTGTTCCCAATGAATCCCAAAAGTGCTTTACACAAAAGTCACACACCCAATTCACCTTTGAAGTGCAGCAAAAAGCATACACCTATCCGGGTGATGTGTGGTATTATGCAACAACATCCCCCACTACACACGTTCTCAGGCATAGAAGTGAGAAATTGCCTCACCACTTCAATGAAGAGGAATCTAGAGGAAGGGCAGCTTGTGCAAGCCAGGAAACTTACATTCAAACCCCTACACTTTCAGAAAGTGCCATGAATTTAGAGAGTCGGGTCCTTGGTTTCTCTCATCTGTAGGACAGTGACTTGATCACACTGTGGCAGCAGTTTGGATGTTCTGGGCCGAAAGGAAGACAGCCACCTACTGGTATACAATTCAGCAACTTACAAATATTTAAGCAGCCACTTTAGGTCTCCTATCCCAGTATCAAGTAGAACTGGCCTTGCTTAGCTTAAGGAATATGCCAAGCTTAGGATAAAATGTGATAACATTGCCTTTGTACCTTCTTGGATCCATGCAGAGGAGAGCAGAATGAAGCTTTGCAGTGCTAATGATGAGATGGTCAAATTATTATGTATACCTGTATGGCACACTTAGAAATTTGAAATACGTGAAGAAAGAAAAGGCTCACAAAAATGTTTTGAATATATTTACAATTTCATAACAATACACCTATGCTCTGCCTCATGTAAGGTTTTCTGTTCAGCAAGCCTTTACAAAACCTGAGCTTAACAGAAGTTGGAAGTGGCCCTTTCTTAGTCACTGTGTGAATCCATGTTGAGAATTATCATTCATGTTAGTGCAGCATCTTCCCTTAGTTAATCTAGCTGTGGCAGCCAGTAAGGAAGGAGGGACAAAAAAAACCTGCAAGCTCACCAGGGTTTGTAGTAATAGTTAACAGGGGTGTGTGCTGATCACAGGGAGGGTCATGAGCAAGAGGAGAATGTAACAGCAGCTAGCAGTCCATGGATAGAAGAAAGGGAAATTCCCCAGTTTAGAGGAACAAAAAAATAATGAAAAATTAAAACATTATTATTAGAATACCAAATGTAGCATATACTTAAAAATATATACAGTACATAAGTTATACTATTACCTTTTAAGGAATTTAAAAATAGTGTACATTCCATTACCCTACATTGTTCTATCCAATCATTAAATACAATGACACTGATAAAAATAAAAATCACTTGGCTGCAGCCCTGACATGACTGCACTGTGGGTTACTCAGTTGTCATTGAAGAAGCATGAGAGAATAGGCAGAGGTTAGCACCACACACACAGAAGCCAAGTAAGACTTGAGTGTAACACAGATCCCCATTGGAGCCCTCATAATGCTGACACCACACTTCCGTGGGAGGGACTTCATGCACCAGCTGCTCGTTACGTAAACTTTCCATGACTTTAATTTTAAAGAACATTTTAAGATGGGAACCATGGAAGGCTTTTCAGCAAACTGTATGTAACCTAGGGTGACAGGATGTACATTTTCGGAAATCAGTGGGTGACAACTACATCCATGTTTATTTCTTGTATTTAAGAACACCTGCATTTTCTGCTGTGCCTTTAATACTCCATACTGTGGCCTTAACTCATAAGAACCTAATTAAATGTTGTGCAAAATTGAGACACATGGCTTGGACCAGATCTCACCTTTCTGTTATAAGACCCAGGGAATTCTTTGAAATTAGGTATTACAACATAAAACCCATCCACTTACAAGCTGATCTTATACATTGTTCAATGAAGAATACTTTCAGGGCAAATCCGGGAAATAAATCTTATTTAATTTTCATTCAGATCTGTGTGCATTACATTAATACGCCAATGTTGCAGACTGATTTTTTAAATAACCCCAAAAGGTTTACATTTAAGAATAATTTGTACAATGTTCTCTTTAAGCAAATTAGTATTGAGCATGATTCGGATCCTTTGACATTCCGTGATTATTAAACAAAAGGGGTTTCAGAAAGGAAAACAGTATCTTCCAATATGTAATGAACATTTTATTAAAATCTTGAAAACAATATCACAATATTCAAGCTTTGCAAAAATGTGAATAAACATTTCTTTAAGTTTTTAATAAAACATAAAAACATTTAATTTCTTTCTCTCTATACAATCTAAACTCTACCCACATATACAAATACAGAGAAACTACAGTACATGCCGAGGTAACATGAGATACATTCTTAAAGATACTAACTGAAACTCTGCTGCAGAGGAGGTGCATCTGATTTTCAGCTAGATGCACAAAATGTCGTGATTTCCATCATTACCCCTAACCACTTAGAAATCTACTGAGAAAGCAAATCGTTACCATCAGAGCCATGGGAGAACGCGTATGTGGATGTCTCAAATGTAAAACATTAAAAAAAACAAAACAGTAGCATGCGCACACACCCTTTATCCCATGCCACAGTTGTTTTGTGGGATGACTTAGATCAGCATTCTTGAACGAGGCTGTTGCCTCATCCTCTAGCATATAGCCACCAGCTTGGCTGTAAGAACTGACACATAATGGTCACTTCAGCCACAAGCAAGGCTAATGTGAAGGAGACTACCATACTCCTCTTGGGATAACATCCAATAACATCGCCATGCACACATCCTGTCGGAGAAAAAGGAGATCAGGTAGCTTTTTCCAACACAACCATTTCTCAACACCGTTACTGTGTGAAAATTACAGTTAATCAATATTCCATGTCTGTTCCTCCAGTAAAACTGCGTTTCACTGCACCTCGGAACGAAGAATTAATAAACAGCAGGATGTGACAATGATAACAGTGAGTATGCGTTCACGATAAATAGGTGAAGTGAAATTTTGAAGCCAAAGCACTCCTAAGCACTTTACCTTCATTAGTCATCTATAAGGATGGCTTTAATAAAATACAGTGTAAACTGATGTTATAAACCTAATAGGGTGACTTCCTGCAATGAAAATAAAACCTTGACACAACCGTGCTCGGTCTCGTCATGGCTTCCTTGAGCTCTTCTGTCAAATCCAGTTCAGAGATCCGCAGTAATGCTAATAACTGAAATATTAACTGTTATTTGTCAGGGTCTGTTAGTGTATTTGTTGCAGCTTCACAAAGCTTAAAACTAATTGGGTCTTTAATTACTAATTGAATTAACCTTAACTGTTCAGTTAAGATCTTAGCTTCTGGATTTTGTGACATTTTTTTCTCCTTTTACAATACTACAAAGGGCAGAATAGAGCAAACAAGCTACCTGCTCTGAGGCACTTCTAATCAGGTTAAGATGTCTGGATTTAAACAAGTGGGCACTCAAAACCAAATCTGTTTGTTGCCTCTCAAGGATATGCTAAACTATCTGGTCTTGGGGTGTTATTTCTCAAAGCACTTTCTTGCAAAGCAATGTTTCAAGACAAACTAATGGCATTTGTACTTTAGTTTCCCTCTTTTCAGTTGAGCATAAGCTAGAAAGATTATTTATTTGGGAAGTGATTATCTACTGTAATTAAATATCAAAACAAATGTATAATTGACAATATTGATAAGGTTTTGAATTTTTCCTCTGATTCCACAATTGACTGTTCTACTAAAAATATTCTGGCCAACGCTTTTGTCCACAACAATTTACATTTGCACCCACTTATACAGCCGAGTTTTTTTACTGGACCAATTTTGAGTGAATTACCATGCTCAAGAGGGCAACAAAAACCTCACCTGGGATTCGAACCCACAGCCTTCCTGTTACAAGCTCAGTATCCTGACCACTGCTCCACACTCCTGGCAGCAGCTGCAAGATTTTGAGTCACATCTCGGTTTTTGTGGCCACAGGATTGTGGATTAAAATCAAACAAGCAAGATGCAGGTTAAAGAATATATACTATTATGTCTGGTGAAACAAGTGAAGCCTTTGGCCACCAAATTTCTCTACATGAGAGCCTTTAAAAACAGTACAACTCAATGGTGTGAAGCCTTTAGGACACATCTACTGACACTGTACTCAATTAACAGACCTTGATGTGAATCGGTGAAAAGAAAATTAATCATATGGGGACTTTCATACGTTTTTGACCAAATAAATTAAATATGGACCAGCTGTCTCAGTGGCTTTCTCCTCTGTGATGCAATGTACTGGACATACTTTCAGTTTCCTATAGAGTATAAGTACTCGCACACATGCACAAATATTTAAGCACATCTGTCCAATATTCATCATTTTAAAAACAAGAGTTTATACTCTCATGGCACAAATAGTAGGCTGTGTGTTATAAAATATTATAAAAGATGGATTAAAAAAAATCAAATAACTACAGTGATCACGAATCCACAGTTCCGTATAAAAACATGCTTTACAATAGCTTCCTGCATACAGGCAATCTTTTTCTCTTGGCTTTCTCACATTATTTTGAGAAATCAACAAAAGACAAGGTCTGAAGCACAGAAAAGGAAGTACAGTGCTGGCAATATTAGTATATAAACTGAAAATTATATGGCCCTTAGAAAAGGGAAAGATTTTGAAGACTTCACCGAGGTTAGTTATCTGGCTGTGAGGAGGCCTGATGAGATGGATAAGGTAGCAGTGCTCTCCAACAGTGGTTAAGGGCCGGAAGGGACCATTCTGCATAGTCCTCAAAAAGCTGCCAATTTTCAACTACAGTGTCTTGCAAAAGAACTTTCCCCCCCATGCAAATTCTTCACATTTTGTGCCACCTGAATTCTTAATCATGACACTTAAAAATTGTACATTATACAGAATTTACTCCAAACTGATAAAGCTAAAAATGGTGATGGTATGTAAAGTTAGACATTGAATTTTACATTGAAAAAGTGGAAGAGAAACACCGATCAGGAGAAAGTAACATCACAGATCATCAAGAAGTGGAATGTGCATATTACCCAGATTTGGCCATCCTTCCAAACTGAGCAGCCAGAAGAAGAAAGAAAATTAAGGATACCAACTGCAAAAGTGACTCCAAAATTTGCAAAGTTCCCCACCTCAGATAGGAGCCACTGTTCACATATCAGCAATGCATGGGGTCATGTCTGGTGCAAACTCCAGCTACACAGCACAGTGCGTTAGCCCCTTTCCAACTGTCAAGCATGGTGGTGGCAGTATTACATTATGGAAATGCTTCTCATCAGTAGTAACTAGGAAACGTGTGAAATTGGATGGAAAAATAAAAGGATAATGCAATATGCAGGATCTTGAAGAACCTGCTGGCAACTGGCAGGAATCTAAAACTTTGTTGAAAATGTACATTCTAACAAGATAATAACCTAAAGTCACAGAGGAGTGGCTTGACAAGGAAATGATTCTCAGTAAAATTCCTGACATGAACCCAACAGAAAAGTTTTGGTGAGACTTGAATGAATACAGTTAATCAGAGATCCCCATAAAAACATGGAGCAGATTTGCAGAAATGACACCATTCAACTCTGGAAAAGCAGGTAGAGACTTATCCAAAAATAGCTTGTTGAGTGTTACAGCTGTGTTTAAAAACGTTAATATGTTATTAATCAAAGTTTGACACTAAAGGTAAGGGGTGAAAACATGATCAAGGCACTGTAAGTCAGTAAACTGTAAAACAGTAACCATTAAAAATGTAAGGATACCTTCTGTTAGAGAAGGAAGCCCTTTTGGTTTGTGAAATAGTCCTTTCAGTCTGACTTCAAAAGAAATGTCATAAAACACAAAAATTAAAACTTTCCATAACAGAGCAGTTCTATATCCCTTGGCTAACATTCATTTCTGTTGCTTCAGTGGTAGGACTGTAATTGAACCATTTCTTAAAAGCAATGGAATTCACTGCATGTACACGTATATACTTCTAAAATCAAACAATAAAATAAGGCAGCACAGGCCTAAGTCTGGGCTAGTCGGGCTTGTCAGTTCCTCCCTGTTCCCCTTCAGGACTATTTTCCACCATGATTGTTTAAGCAGTTTCAAAGAGCTCCTGCTATGAGAAGGCCCAGGGTAGGCCCCAAGCACAGCCAGAGCAGTCTGCGAGCCTCACCGCTAACCTCTATGGCCTAAGTCAGCCACATTTATTAGGCGGGGAAGTCGACTTGCCCGTTTTCAGTCGTTGTCAACCACTTTCTGGCTGCTGTTCAGCGGAACCTGATAGACTAACTCCTCTGCTGGGCG